CCAACACCATGTTCGCGGAGGTTAGAAGAAGCTGGACGAGAATTTTTTCAAGGAATCCTTTTACTTTTGAAATCGAAGTATCGAAGTTAACAACCTCGACATATGTGAAAATGGACCTTGACATTTGGCGCTATGTATCGTGTGGTAGAGGAGAAGTATCACGTCATAAAGGTTTTAAGCTGTACAAATTAGAGGACATGTCTCGTTTGCCCTTGCCTGATCATGAACTGGCTTAACAATCATGGGGAGGGTCATGCTATACAGCCTCCCTTAAAAGTCAAACCAGTTCTGGCTTGGACATCAAAAAAACAAATGTTTAAAGACAGCAAACTCTGCCAAGCACCTCAACTACCAGTTGAAAAATTGTGCTTGGACATTTTAGCCAGAACTGGTTTGACCATTATTTTACAAGATGGCCGGGCATCATAAGAATGAGATTGTTTTAACAGAAAGTGAAGTCCATGCTTGTCTATCTGTGTTAGATCCTGGCAAAGCATCTGGTCCGGACAACATACCCACAAAAATTCTGAAACTAACTGCCGATCAAATTGCCCCATCTATATGTAGACTTTTTAACCTGTCTCTAAATCTAGGGGTTATGCCTACTGCATGGAAGGAAGCAAATGTGACACCTGTCTACAAAAATGGAAACGCTGCTTGCATGGAAAACTACAGACCAATTTCGCTGTTGTGCATCCTTTCGAAAGTGATGGAAAGATGTGTTTATAATCACATCTATGAGTTCATATCATTTAGAATCAATAAATTGCAACATGGCTTCCAACATCAGAAGAATTGTTCCACGCAACTGATTCAGTTTTACCATAATATCTTGGAAGCTTTAGACAAACGAAATGAGATAGATATAGCCTATCTCGACTTTACTAAAGCCTTCGATAAGGTGTCCCATTCTTTGCTCCTTCAAAAGTTGGAAGAGTTTGGATTTCGTGGGCAACTAATGATCTGGTTCAGGAGCTACTTGTCTGGTAGAAAACAAAGGGTTGTCTTGGAGGGACAACAATCAGATTGGTTGACTGTTTCCTCGGGAGTTCCACAAGGCTCTATTTTAGGACCCTTACTATTTTCAATATTTATCAATGATTTGCCAAATCAAATAGCATCTTTCTCCCAAATAGGGTTATATGCCGATGACAGCAAAATGTTCAGAGTGATAAAAAGCGAAGCTGATGTGGATCAATTTCAGGGTGACCTGTCAAGTGTTTATGACTGGAGTATTAGATGGCAGATGCAGTTTAATACAAAAAAGTGTCATCATATGCGCTTGACACATAAAAAATCTTTGTTGTGGTATGGCTAACCATAGTTTTCTTAATGTTAAGTTTTTCATAGTTGGCGACTTATTCTTTCAACTGAAATATATTTATATATAAATGGACTATTAACATTTTCAGAAGCCTTGTGATATCAGTTTAGATGTGAAGAACGGAACAGACATGCCAAGTTTTATGGTAACCGAAGGAATAATATTATAACATTTAGTAGGATATTTACCCCGCATGTTTCGAGTTGTTCATGAATAAAAATTGCAGAAGTTCAGATTTAGAAATTTTGCAAAAAATATATATAAAAATCCGTAAAAAGAACAGAAACCTTTTTGGCATTCTAGTTTCATTTTGAGCTCGATAAGCTACCTTAAACGTAAATCTATCTTCATTGCTATTAATTAAAACAGATGGCGATTCATCATACATGGTTGCATAGATAGATACAGTAGGGTGATTGTATACCTTGCATTAAGCGCCGACAACACATCAGCCACAGTGTTATGACTCTATGAAGACACGTGAAGGAATGGGGGCTACCTTCAAGAGTAAGAGGAGATATAGGCATCGAAAACCGTGACATGGCGTGTTACATGTTTAGTCATTCTGCAAGGGAGTCAGGATGCGGGAGTTGTATAACAGGACGTAGCATTCAAAACTTAAGAATTGGAAGGTTGTGGAGGGATGTTTACTTAGGCTGTTCTGTCATTGTTTTATGACTTGTTCAAAATCATGGAATCTGAAGGAATCTTGGATGCAAACAACAGCCCATTGCAGTTATTTATTATGGGTATGCAACAAACCAACAGGAACAAGGAATAATTTTCAATGAATATTTCGAAAATTTTTCAGAATTAAGTCACTGAAGTTTATAATCAGCTATTTTTATTACAATTATTATTACAATTATTTTCCTGTTTTTGTAGGGTGAACTAGACACCTTCGGACTAGATGTGGATGCTGGTTTGCCTGAACTGGGAACTGAAGATTTGGTAGTTGTACCAGAGACCCCAAACTCATTGGATGAAATCGTGTATACGATTTTCAGAGAAAGATTGGGAAATGTGCCTCCTACAAATCCATTGGATACAGAACCTTATTTATTTGCATTGCAGCAACTAGACACTTTACTGCCTAATGAGCAATAATGTTTTTATTGTTTTAGTGTCAAATAGTGGTGTACATCAACTCGGATTGAATTTAAGGATTTGTCTAAATTTAAATCTGAATCCAGTCCAAAGATACAAAACCTGATCCAAACTGATTCAATCAAAGCATTTTTCGCAATATCTCACTGTAAAAATGTAACGCAACTAGCCTGTTCTATATAAAACCGTACATCAATCAGTTATACCAAAAATAATCCATTCAAGATGCAAAAGCTGATCTGAACACGCAAAATTTTGTCAGAATACACCTTTAGTTACAAAGCGAGTCATGGCAACTTGTTCTATGCTTATTTTGGCATGTTATTGTAAATGGAAAACAAAGAGCATGGACGTTTATCGTTAACACAGATTTTGACAGGTCAGACTTGGCCAATGGACCTTTTGCATAATAGACCAACTTTTGATTCAGGTGACAAAAAGGGAATTTCCTAAAAGAGCATACAAAACTTAGTAAAATTGCCAAGTTTTACTGCGAAATATTGTAAAGTGCCGCAGATATAGCCATGCGAAGTTGGCGAATTTTGTATACTTTTGTATTACGGCCGGACGCATGTAACTAAATTAGTTAAACGCTTCCAGCCGTAGTAGAAAAGTATACAAAATTGGCAACTTCGCATGGCTATATCTTCCGTACTACTTTACATTTTGCAACCAAACTTGGCAATTTTACTAATTTTGGTATGTTCTTTTTAGCTTTTGTGATATATTACCTGCTTGCCACCTAGATCTGAAGTTGGTCTATTATGCAAGTGGTCCATTTGCTTAAAAAAAAAAAAGATGCTTGAGATTAAGATTGCTGTAACCTGCAGTGAATCCGGAATCTATATTTTATTTATGCTCAAGCAATGTGTTTGTTTTGTTTTGGTTTAGGAAGAAATGTTAAGCCAACATTTAATGTTTAAATTTTCCGGCGCGTTTTTAAGACCTCCAAGCTGGTAAATAATATTAGCTATATTTATTCTATCGCATTAGACATAGAGTAATTGCAAACCTCCCACTTGGCTCCCCACATTGTAACATGGCCAGAAATTCAAGACACGCGATATTGCGCAAGCGCACGCAGCGAAAATATGGCGTCTGACAACAATATAAAATTATTAGTAACTGTTCACAAAAAGCGCAATAAAAGTCTACCAACAAAATATTTCAAATTTGTGCCGTTGATACAAAGTTCTACATACCTTAGTAGTCATATAGGGCTATATTTGAAGTATTGTTTGTATAGTAAATAACAGGTCCAAATCGAACAAGAACTTTGGGCATACTATTGCTATACACTACTATGGACGTTTGACGAAAATCCAGAATTTCATGATATTGAAAGGCCTCAAGCAAGTTACTCTGCATTACTTTTCCATTTGTGCCGTTTACTTTGCGAAGTATGAGTAATACACAACAGAACGGCGCTTCCATTTGTTAAAATATGCGTCACAAACCAGGTCCATTTTCTTCATCAAAAAGCGATAATTTAAACTCAAAGACAGAAATACTTTGAGAATGTAAGTTTGGAAGGTGAAATGCAAATGTCTTGTCTTTGAGTGCAAAGTTTTCAGTTTTGTCGGAATTCGTCGAGCAATACATCAAATTAAAGCTCAGAAACAGCGCTTCCTTTCATAATACATTTACAGAGACGGCGGTGTAACTGCTCAGCGTACAATCCCTTTGTCTATCTATTGCTGTTTTTGGTTGGTTTACTTCCTGTCTCATTACTATGGTAACCGCAAATCGCGCATTGAAGCGGGAAATTAGAATCATTCTCTTTCCTTTCCATCCTCTGGAATGCAAATTAATGCAAATTTATGGCAATCGCTCTGGGTACATATTCTAATACCAAATTTAAAAGGGAAATAGTTATTGATAGCGAGCATTGCCCAAACTTGGTTAAAAGATCCGATGTTGATTCTGAAGAAGTTGCCTTTACTCTTCACATTCCCTTCGAACAACTAAACAGTTGGCACAATGCGAAGCAAACAACACTGGCTGACTGCACGTACGTACAGATACTGAACGCATTTATTGGCAAACAGTATCCATTGAAGATTCTGGAGAGCTGTTCAAGACTCAATGACTGCCTCCGTATACATTGCACGAAAGTGTCAAAACAAGTTATCGGGAAACATGGGGGGACTCGGCAACGCCTACTTGCGAAGGTGAAGAGGTCGCTGTCGTCAATAGCGAACTTAGCACTATTACCTTGGTGAATGACTTGCAAAACCAAGTGTCGCAGCTTGAAAGTGTAAATGCGACGATTACTCGTGAGAATAAAGCATTAGACATTAAATGTAAGCAAGCATCAGACCTGGTGAGAAAAAAACAAATAAAGATCGACAAGGCCACTATTGACATTGATAAGCTTGAAAGAGAGAATAGCAAATTGTACAATATAATTGAAAAAATTTCTCCCCAAAGAAAGTTTGAGGACAAAGGGAAAACGTTTCTGGAAGTAGGAAAGCGACAGCAAGATCGTAAACTTCGAACTCTGGCAACACGGGTCGAGCAAGCACTTTGGTTTAGCGAATCGTTTGGACTTCAGTTGAACAGTGTGAAAATGATTGACGAGTCTGGAAAAGCTCATTGCCTATCTTTTGATGAAAAGGGATTGAAAAATTACAAGGAACTCTCAAGTGATGAGAAGGAAGACATCCAGCAAGTTTTGAACATAATGGACAAATTTTGCATAGGCGAGGCTGCATACCATGAGTTAACTTGTTGCCCAGGAGGAGAGACACTCCCAAGGTCTTATCTGGTAAAACAATGCAAAGATGATCTAAATGAGCTTTTCTATATTGAAAGAACTCCTGGGATGCAAATGGGGCAGCACTCAATTTTGAAGACGAGTTGAGCCACGTAATTGGAAATCTGGTGAGACTATTTGTCCTCTTTTAGTCATTCATAATTAATCATTAAAATTCAAATAAACTATTAGGTACTTGTCAGAGATGGTGTGTGCTGTGATGTCCCAGGCTGGGCAAAACCACTGTGTATAGAAAATTAGAAATAGCAAATCATTGCTCATAACCAAATTTTAAAAATATTATTAATCATGTAACCATCTTTGTTAATTGTTCATTCAACTTTAGATGGAGACAAACAGCAAGTTAGGAGATGTCCCAGTCAAAGTGAAAGTCAGTGGAGATGGTGCAAAGATGACAAGATTGACAAATTTCATTGTGATCAGCTTCTCTGTTCTTAATCTGGAAGAAACTGTTATGTCATCAAAAGGTAAATCATTTAAAATTAGTGGCTATATTTATTATAATTATTTGCAATGATTAGGATATTTTGAAATTTTGCATAAAGCTCTAAATTGACAACATACCATAGTAGTGTAATCAAGCTAAAACATAAATTTGAGTAAAAATAACAAATTTTCTTATTTCTTTATTACACACAAAGGGAACCACACAGTTGCAGTAATCAAAGGTCATGAGGATTATCACCTTTTGAGGACTTCCTGTGCAAAGATCTTTAGCTGCATCAACAGGCTGGTAAAGTCAGGAAAAATCAACATTAAAGGGAAGGATGTGCCTGTTGAATTTTATCTAGGAGGTGACTATAAGGTAATACTTGCAAAATTAAGTACTGTCTGGTAATACAATAATTAATCATGCAAAATTTTTCATGAAGTTGAATTCTTGATTAATTTTGCTCTTTTCAGTTCCTTTTGTTGGTACTTGGCATGAAAGGAGCCACATCTGACTATGCATGTATTTGGTGCAAAATTTTCAAATTAGACAGGTGAGTCATAATTTCAGCTTGGTTAAAGCCCACTTTCCATGAGAGTCGACTTGTTGGTAGTATATGGATGACACACACGTAAAATAATTAATTTGAATAATTGACAAAGTCACTCATCATGGTGGCTATACTTAGAAACTGGTCTCAATGCAACCTAATCCCTGTGCATGAAAGTACGTTTATCATTATTTAACATATTTTTTAAACATATTTTTACTCTTTTAGATGTGATATGTCAAGGCTTCAAAACTACTGGGAAACTCAACATGGTCGATCAATTGAGGACATAAAAGAATGCGCTTTAAAAGGTCATTTTTCTTGTCAATTCCAACCTCTGCTCAATATAAAGTTGGAAAATGTTGTTCTTGATGAACTACATTTAATGCTTCGAATCACAGGTATAAAGAATTAAACTAAATGATGAGCAATATGTCTAGTGGAAAATATATATATGACAGTTTTTGCACTTCAATTATTTTTAGCTCTGGTTAGCCATGGCGCACTCTGGCAAATGTTTTGATAATAAACAAACCAAATCTTATATAATATATTATGTTTATTTCAGATAAGTATAATCTTACTTGCAATGTGACACTTTTACTGTTTAGATGTGTTGACAAAAAGCTTAATTAACCAAGCTCTTGAATGGGATATAAAGGACAACATACCCAAAGCTCCCAAAAATAGGTCAAACCAACACCTAACAGACCTGGTTAGGTCAATAAATGAATGCGGAGTCACATTTAATGTCTGGGAGAAAAAGAATGCAGATGGGAAAGGCAGTGGGGTATATGATTTTACTAGCCTAATGGGTGCAGACAAGAAGCTATTATTGAAGCACCTCCCAGAAAAGTTAAAGAATTGCATTGAGGCAACACATAGCGATGCTGTAATTAGTTTGTGGAAGGTATTCTTGCAATTGTAAATAATAAATTATATCAAGAGAATATCTATGTGAGAGAGAAAATTATGGATTACAGTTTAAAACATTTTTTTCCATTTTAGGATTTCAGTCACATTTACCAAATGGTAAATGAGCCTAATCCTTCAGCTTCACATATCGATGAACTATTCAAACAGGTTAGATACTCTACTTTTATGGTCTTCGCTAAGGCCTCCTGCAATGATCAACGTATAATAGAAGCTATAGATTGCAACAGGAAATTGGCTTCTGAATTCCCTTTCTGTATTTTGTGCCAACAAAATGTCCAGTGTGTGTGTTATAACTATATCCCAAATGCTTTCAGGCTATCCTTCATGCAGCTCTATTCTAAAGTGGAAAATATTATGCTTAGTATATTTCTCCTAATATCAATTATAGGCTTCTGCTTGGGTTAAGCTATTTGTATCGCTTAGTGGTGTAGTCGAAGGGTGTGGGAAGAAACAGATCACACCATACATGCATTGCTTGGTTTATCATGTGCCAAACTTTATGCAGAAACATGGTGGTATAAAGAAGTTTACAGGGCAAGGTAATATTTGTCATATTTGTTTAGTTTAACTAATCTGAACAAGTATTGTATATTATCAAGAATTCTTTTCACTGAATTTAAAGGGGTAGAGAAGAAGAATGATGACGTACGGAAATTCCATTTGACCAAATCGAACAAGTGGGATGCACCTAAAAATGTCCTGCTTGTGGGCAAACGGTTACAGGTGACCAGTGAACAAGAAAGAACAACAAGATCCTACTACAAAAGGAATATTGATTATTGGTCACATGAAATTAAAGAAGCACGAAGTAAAAGGCGCAGGAAATTGTTATATTCTCCTAGTTCCTGTCCTGCATCGCAGGAAAGCAATGCAGAAGACACTTTAGATGTTGAAAGTCTATCAATTGCAGAAATCAAGGAAAAGTTGAAGGAATTGGGAGTGCAAACCCGTGTTAGGAAACTTGAGAAGTTGAAATACATTCTGCAAAAAGCACTCCAAGACTGAAAAATTACTTAAATTAATATTTAGATTCATTATATCAGAAGTATGTACACATTAAAATCAAAGTTCTAGTCTACATTACGAGTTCAGAATGTTTTCCTGATTGCAAGGTCTTCTAGCAAATGATATGCTAATTTTCTCAATAGGAAATCTAGGTGTTTCCACAAGCTGTGTGCCTCTAACAGCATGCTTCTTAGGTGACCAAAGAAGTACGGCCTTAGCCTTCAAAGGGAAATCTATTTTTCTGCCTTCACCTTGTTCTGATAAGTAGTACCACCAATCAGACGGAAGCATGTGGAATCTCTTCTTTCATAAAGAAAATAGCCTCGGTGCTCACATTGTACTCCTTTACCTTGGACAATATATCGCCAGATATCCAGGTCTATTTCAATGAGGCAATTCGCAAGTGCTTTTGATTTTAGCATGCCAGAAATGCCACTAGAAAACGCTCTGGTTGCGTGTTCCAATCGAGCCATGGTGGGTTTGGGTGGTCTTTCATAACCCCTAGAGATAAATTACAGTTTTTGTCATTATAAACATTCAGAATGATTTTTAAACTAAAAACGGAATTGCACAACTTGCCTCAATAAATCATTGGTCAAGTGTACAGATGGTTCCCATGTACTGGATTGGATTGACCATCCTAACCATTTGATAAGATATGAAAAGTCCTATAAAATATTATCAATATAAAGCATATTAAATATAACAATTGGTTGAGGGCTATTACAAAACATTGCCCATGGCCATGGTTTATTTATTTATTATTATATCTTCAATAGTAACATTGATACTCGCATTGATACACAATCACTGAATATCAAGCTCTGGAAGCAACTAGACATGATTGATAATAGAACAACATACAATATGGAAGAAATCAATACATTCAGCTTACATTTTTCTCTTTTTTCCTGCTTATAATCCTTTCTACTTCATATATCTTCCCTCGTTTCCTTGGTGGAGCACTGTTATACAGTACAACTGAGCTAAAATTGTTTAACTCGACATAGTTGGTTAATCGTGGACGTTTAGCCGCCATTTTGAATGATTTTTGTAAATTTCGCGGTTTTCCGCTGTACCAAGTTTGGCTCAATGTCTCGAATTTCTGGCCATGTCCATCATTATTGTCCCCCTTCTCTTCCTCAGGCGATTTATAACCCTAAAAGGTAATAGAAAATTAAGGAAATTGCTGTTAGAGCTCATGAATGATTAGGTTGCGATGTTTAATTCTGCTCAATGCGTTTTTGAAATTGAATAATGTACAATGCAAGTCAAAATATGTGAAGGAAAGCAAAAGTTTAGCATAACAATTATTTTATATAACTTAAACGCCAACCTCGCAATTTTTAAGATGCCATCGTATTTCACTAAGAGCAAAAGATGACTGACATAATAGCCGAATTTATATTAGAAGACGGATTTCTGTTTATTTATTTGCTCGTGTGTTGGTTAACACCAATACACAGGAACATTCCTGGTTATATCAGCTTGAAAATTACCTGTTAAAAAAGCATGCAAATGAGCAACTGTTCATAAATATTCAAGAGGAATTTGAAAATAGTTTCGAAGAAGATTCTGTTGAGGATAAATTTACAATCGAACAGTTGCATACAAAATACAAATAGTTAAAAAAAGAGTGGCGTCAAATTAACAATAAAATTAAAAGTGGTAGTGGGCTTGGAGGGAAGGACACAAATACACCAAGTTGGTATGATGTTTTAAATCCACATTTCTGTCAAGCAGTGGATGACATGACATCTGTTTTGACAAGAGCAAATGATTTGAATAATTGTAGTGATGAAGACCAACAAGAAAGTGATAAGGGTGGGTCAGATATAAGTGATAATGACAGTTTAGATAGCAGTTTTGAATCAAATACCCGTCACCGTATCAGTACATCTGGTGAAATGTGGGATGATTCCACTAATAAGAATAGCATTGCTTCAAGCAGTGCCAGAGCATCATCCAATGTTGATACTATGGAAGAATCTGAAGGCTACACATCATCCAATGTTGATACTATGGAAGAATCTTAAGCAACACCATTGCAAGAGGCAAGAAGCTGACTAAAAGAAGTCCAAAGAAGACAAACATTAAATTTCATCCAAGAAGAAATTCTAAACCCAAATCTCAGAGTGAGGCAATGGTTCAAGTGGCTAAGAGTATCGAGAACAGCAGTGTTCAACAAGAAAAAATAAAGATGTCCGGCTTCAAGCACTCCTGGAAGCTGATCGAAAATGTGATGATATGTTTCTAGCATATCAAAGAGAACAAGCGGAAGCAAATCGAAAACATGAGTTGTTAATGGCACAGCTTATCCTGCAATCAAGGACTCAAGCTGTCAATATGCAACATGCAAATTATGGAAACTCATTTCCTAATGATTTACCACTGTCAAGTGCAAGTAATTCATGGAATACTGTCCATAGAACACTAGAACAAGATGACAATATTAGATACCATCAGCTATAACTGAGAAGACTGATTATTCATTGTTGACTATACCTTTATTGTTTATATTGATATGTCATTGAACAACATTGCATGCAATATCTTTAGTTACTTCATATTTTTTCATAGCATTATAAACTCCCAAATTAACAAGGTTAAAACAATAGTTTTGTTTAAACTTCATATTTCTTGGTTATTAAAATAATTTTGTTCAGTCTTTATTTTCTGTGTGTCTTTGTGAAAACAGTAATGTGAAACATTATAGACTTGACTTGTGATTTCTCAGTGCAATGGAAGTAATAGTGTAATGTGTAATAGTTATTAACTCATTAACTGACAGTACTCTACCACAGATGAGTAAAATCGTGTGGCATTAGATACAGTAAAATACTGAAGTAGGTCACATCTGGGTGCATTGCAAGCTAATAGGTTAACAAGAGACACTGACAGATAGTTTTGTTAACTCATTAACTGGCAGTACTCTTTCACTGATGAGTAAAATCATCCCACAAAAATAATACTAAAGTAGGGCACACCTGGGTGCATTGCAAGCTAATGGTTAAACTTCTGTTTCTATTCCTTAATAATTCTTTACATAGATTTAACAAATGGCTTTAAATAGATTTAACAAATCGTTCATTAGTTTTAACCATATTAAGGGAATGCCTCTGAATGTTACTTGATGTTGATTTACAACCTTTTGCAAATGCATCAATTTCAAAGTACATAGAGACTAGGCTAATACTTCTGTAGCTTTCTTAAGATCACAAGGACCATAACCACTTGGTGACTCTGACTCGAATTTTCTTGAATAATTTCTTGTCCATTGTTCTCTTGGTCGGCTTTCGGATTAAATTAAGCTTTTTCACCTTTAGTTGCCATCTTGGTAGACATGGATCGTGATACTTGATGCACAAGTTGTGCAATGCGATGCAAGCCATGATAACACATGCAGCATTACGCTTGCGACACTCCATCTTTTTATATGTTATACGCCACCGTCCTTTTAACATTCCAATGCGTGCTCAGATACAACACATGCGGACCTTAGTTTGGTATTGAAGTACTTCTGTTTTTGATCTTTTGTAGTATCCGGGTACGCCTTTAGTAGCCATGACCGACCATCTCCCACTATTGCAAATGGGATTTCCCCGTACTCTGGTAGTTTAAGAACTTTATTTGGAAGCAAATTTCCATCTTCGATTTGATTAAAAATTGGAGTGGACTTGAGAAGGGTAAAATCATGCATTGATCCAGGTGCACCCACTCCGGCCCAAAGGAACCTTTTGTTTGCCCCAATCAGTCCCATGTTTGTGATTGAATACCTTTTTTCAAAGCAATAGAAGTTCTTCAAGCTACTAGCGATGTATATGTGAAAGCCATCCCAGGCCCCAGCACATGGAAATCCATAATCTTTAAGGAAGGCTTTCAATTCAGATTCCTGTTCTGTTGAAGGTAAATGTACGTTCTCATAATAGAAAACAGATTATTAGGTTAATTACCTCATTGAAAATCGTGCAAGCAGTACAAGGTGCAATTCCAAAAAGATCGCCGACTGTAATGAAAGAACACCCATGCGCCAATCTATAAAGAGTTAGTCCTAGCTGACGTTCTGGTGAAACAGGTACCTTAAATTTAGTTGTTTCCTTTACAAGTAGTTCTCTCATGGCCATCAATATATCATTGAACGTCTCACGATTTACCCTCAGTCTCTTTTTAAATTGATTGTTAGTCCAATTCCAATACCCGTAATCCCACCATTGGCTGTTTCTTTGTTCTATTTGACCTTTCGGTTTTCTCTCTTTTGGAAAGCAGCAAACAACCGCACCAGTTAACTTCTCAAATTGTGCATTGTCTTCAATTATTGACCTTCTTAGTTTTTTGTAGGAATTGCTTCTGGATCTGAAGTGTTGCATTACCAAATCATCTGCAACTTTTCGCTTTAATATCGACGAAATTATGGAAAGAGCTATTTGAGTGGCCGCCATTTTGAAATTCCGGAAACTCGCCTTAGTCCGCAAATCAAATTTTTCTGGGGTTTTCGCATTTATTTGTCTGATCATTTTCCGTCCTAAATTTATATTAGATGGAAATCCGTCAGACGAGTTCTCCGTCTCAGACGAAAATCCGTCTTCTAATATAAATTCGGCTAATAAACACTCTTCAAACTCTTTGTTTATTTTTGTGGACTGAACAAGTTGGATACTTTTTTGAAGAGCTCTAATGTATAACCTGCCAGTTCCAAAGCATCTGTACTGCAACATCCATGTTATACAATTCTCAGTTCTTTCCTGGCCTTCTCATTACTTACGAGAAACTGAAACCCTCCAGCTCCTTCCAACTTAGGGTATGACCTAAAAATTGAAAAGTTTTGAGTTGGTCTAAATACTACACCAAATATAACGAAAAATACGTAGCGTTTAAACACATCAACACACATAGGTCATCAATATATCCTTTACTTTGTTTGGTGTAGCAGACACAGGAAACAATACTCTTAATCTCACAAACCATTATCAAGCAGTTGCAATTTCTCCCAACAAGTTGGA